CACAAATACATCAATTTCTTGTATCACTGTCTGTCACTCATCTGTCGAAGTGCCTTTGCAGACTGCCTTTGCAGACTGGGTCATGTGATTCCCGGTGGCTGACATACTTCATTGTCTAGGATGATTCTAGGAAGACTGTGATGCAGTGAAAGGTTGGGGCCAATGGATCCAAGCTACATAAATAGTGTCTCTTCTTAATTTTTCTTTTCTTCTGTTTCTCATCCTCTCAACTGTATTTTTCTCCTCTAGAAAGCATATACTGTCTTATAGTGAAAATACACATGTACACAGATTTTAAAAAGACGAATGAAAGTTGAGAAAACTTGGAGAGCTGGTGCATATCATTAATCAAGGCAGCAGGGATGTATTCAGCTCTAAGATGAATGCTGTTTTTTTGCCAGTGGTTCTCAAACTTTAGCGGCTTCCAAATCCCCTGGAGGGCTTGTTAAAATGGATTTCTAGGCCCACCCTCAGGGCCTCTGATTCTGTAAGATGGGATGGGGCATGAGAACGTGCATTTTTAACACGTTCTGGTAAAACTGATGCTCGGGTGGGGGACTGCCCTTGGAGTAGCCCTGTTCTAGGGTCACCGTTTCAGGTGTTTCCAATGAGGAAACCAAGGCCTGACAGGGGAAGGGGCTTGAGTAAGATGTAGTGGGTTGTACCTAGGCTAGGGTGAGAACTGGGTCTTCTGGCTGTGGGTCTGTAGTGTTCTCCTGGGATCTGTTCTTTGATTCTCCAGAGAAGGTGAAGCCCCTTCCTGACTGTCTAAAGAAAGTGTGGGAAGCCAGATTTGCTGCCCTCCCAGATTCCTGTCTGTGGGCAGCACTGTCTCTGGCTGACCTATCTCTTTGCATGTTCTATGGAGAGAGCTTAGTGGTCTGTATTGGTGCCTAATGTTACCCACATATATTTCAACCTCTTCATTTCCATATCCAATTGAATAATTATTCATGGAGCATTTGTCTGTTGATTTGTAATCATTTAGAGATTAATACCCGTGTCACCCTGTTTCAAACATGGCCTATTAAACTCAGGTCTGTGTTATGCCAAGAAAAAACAAGTTAAAGACAGCGCAGGTTACAAGAGTAACCAGAAGGAAAACAGAAATGGCTGGATTTTTACTTGAATCTAAAGGTTTTGCTTTTAGTTCGATGAAATTTTAGTGAAATATTATCTCACTAAGTGAGTTTTCTGCAACATCCTCTAACCTACGTTTTCAACTTAATGTTGGCAAATTCAAATTAAAGTAAACATGATTTTGATAGTTGACTAATTGCCTTCGAATGGAATTTCATGAAATTGTTTTCATAAGAATATGGATTGGTTGAATTTAATTGGCTAAGAAGAGTAACAAGAGTTGTATATTTAAAGGTTCTGGTTATTGATCTAATTTCAGCGATTTTCTTACTGGGATGCAGATGGTCACAGTGGCATTGATGTACCATAAATCCAAATAATTGTCACCTGATAATTACATACTAGAACTGGGTGCAGAAATAATTGCTTTGAATGAGTGAGGGAATTAAAATCAGTAGTATTTCCCAAACTGAAGGGGGAGAAAGTTAGCCCACATAGTGTTGGACTCAATTCAGTTCAATAAATCTTGTGATGAAGAGACATCTATATCTAAGGAATCACTCTTCTAGGTAGGTTTTGTCATTCTTATTGGGCCTCAAGGACCAGTGTCTTTGAGTTGTTACAAATTGCTATGAAAATGGATGCAGAGCACGTGTGCATTTATACACACATAACAGTAAATGTTTGCTGGAAAAATTTGATTTAATGATGAAGGCCAAACCCAGATTTTGACACTGATGTTACTGTCTCCAGTTTCATGGGAGGAAAGGGACCAAGTCACAGTGTACATGCCATGATGCAGTCTGTCATCTGGGGGCAATGGAGAAGCATTTGCCTTTTTACATTGTTGGAATGGGGTCTGGGCCACATTTCTGATCCTTCACGTTGCCTTCTCTCTTTTCAGCGTCTTGTGGAGGCTGCAGAAGAGGCACATCTGAAACATGAATTTGATGCAGACTTGCAGGTAACTGATTATAGTTGAGTTAAATTTTTTGTGTGTTGGCTGCAGAACGAGAAACACTAGGTATAGCAAAACACCAGCTTTCAGTGAGAGAGACTTTCAGGAGGATGCTATGCAGTTAAAAATAAGCCTGTCCATTTCTTGACAGGGCAGGGTGGTGATCCTCGACAATTTTCTACCCTGACAGTTATAGTGAATGATAACACACACTCACGTACATGCACGTAACCAGATTTTGACAAGCCCCTCCCCAGTTCTGGAGGACTTAACCAGTCAACTAACAATAATAAGCAGAACTCCTAATGGTATATTGATAAGATGGACAGCTTTGGACAGCAGAATATTAGCAAATCCCACTTCCCCGGCTGCATTTTAGGTGACTGAACGCAAGATTGTGACGGATGTAATCTTGAATTGGCTGTTATATTATAATTAAATCATTCACTGACATGGCATTTGAACATCTAATTAATAAATTTCTTTCAGCAGCTTTTATATCCAACTATGACACACTTGCATTTGGCAGAGAAGGATTTTGATGTTGCTATATATATATAAAGCATATTAAAAGGCATCAAGGGAATTGAATAATACCTGGAGGTTCCTTTTGGTCCCTCTTGAAGGAAATTTTATCTGTATTGTCAAAATGAGTTCAGTGGTGTTTACCCCCTGCTAAGCAGACAGAAGGAATGAATCTTAATCCTTAAATCTGTACTTTGCTAGAGTGCATCTCCTTTAGTGGCATGTGGTCACAATTAGGAAGTAGTGTTTATTTTGGTATGTTTTCATTTGTTGGAAATGACAAAGGCAGATCTAAGTATTCAAGCACAAAAGAGGTGGTGATACCAAAGGTACCCTTTGGCTGTATCTCTGTTCCATGGATGTCCCTCTTCATCACTCCCCATCTATGGGTAAAAAAATGCACACTCAAATGGGGGTAATGGAGGAAAGCTTAATAAAGGAAGTAGTTACAAAGGTATGGTTCTATTTCTATGGGATTATTTACAAAGGTATGGTTATAGAGAAACCAACAAGCAGTGATGTTCTACCCCAGGGTAAGCCACCCTCCTAGCCTGAGGAACATGAGTGGGGAGTGGTTTCCAAAACCCAGGAAGAGTAGCTGTATGGAAAGGTTATTTGATAGAGGGGTGCAGCCAGTCGTGGTAAGCTAGAAGGGTGGAATTTGGGGGGATAATACCCCAATAACAGTATCTAGCCTTCTGATATCTTGCTGGTACCCACCATTGACTGAATCCAGCTATTGAAGTGGTTGATGTTCTGTCTTCTGAAGCATTTGAGCTAGGTGCATAAGGGTGAAGAATTGGTCTGCAGGGGAAAGAGAAACTATCAACCCCCACCACTTGGTAGTCATTTTCAGGCATAATACCAACATATGAAGCAAATAGAGCCAGGACGGTAGCCAAACAAAAGAGATTCCAGGGAGAGGTGGAGAAGTGCTGGGGACGATCAGTAACAGTAGGATAGAGGTGGAGAGGCCAGCCCAGCTCTTTGGGCTAAGTTGCAGGAGAAGGGGCAGAGGAGTCAGCTGAATGGGGCAAGAAGCACCTTGTTTCCTACAGTCACACCTCCATGGCAGCCGTAGGAAAGTCCAGAGGCTATTTACTGGCCACATTTATCTTCAGTGTGCCTCCTCTTCACACAGTTTGGAGTTCCTAGAGTGGGCCAGAGGGACTGAATGGAAGCATCAGGAAGCAACTTTGCAACTGTGAGGATTGTAAGGACCTCTTGAATGTGTTGTCAAGAGAAACTGTCTCCTTCTCCTGGGGAATATTCTGGTTGTAAATTACAGAAACTCATATCAACTCAAAAGAGATTACCGTGTTGAATAAGAGTCCCTGAATCCACTCTAATAAGATGTAAATAAACAAGAAGATATAAATAGATAGGTAGATACATAAATAAATGATAAGGGAAAGCTTTTACAGTAGAATACCAACTAATAAATATAGAAGAAATAGTGGAGATAGAAGATTATAGTAATAATTCAGGCAGGAATCTTTAGTGGATGCTAAACCTAGTATGAAAGAGTTTGATGAAGAACAGAATATTGAAAATTTCAAAGTATCTGCCCACAAATTACTTACTAATTACAAAGGGGAATATAGCAACTTTACATGGAGAAACCTGGCAGACACTTCCTTAAACAGGCAATCAAAATTAATATCACTGATGACAAGACAAAGGGACATCAAGTGCCTCCTGATGTGTGTTGAGCCTTAGGACAGCATCCCTATGTAGAATTCTTGCCCAGAATGTGTAACCTGAATCTAATAAAACATAAGACAAATCTAGATTGGGGAATATTCTACAAAGCAACTGGCTAGACTCTTCAAAAATTCCAAGGTTAAGAAAGACAAAGAGGGCCGCCTGGGTGGCTCAGTAGTTTAAGTGTCTGACTCTTGATTTTGGCTCAGGTCATGATCTCATGGTTCATGGGTTCGAGCCCTGCATTGGGCTCTGCACTGATGGTGTGGAGACTGCTTGGGATTCTCTCTCTCCCTCTTGCTCTGCCCCACCCCTGCTCTCTCTCTCTCTTGCTCTCTTTCTCTCTCTCAAAATAAATAAACATGAGAAAAAAAAAGACAAACATTGAGGACTTGTTCCAGACTAAAGGACACGAAAGACACATGACAATGAAATGCAATGCTTGATCCTAAATTAGATTCAGAACCCAGAAGCAAAGATTTGAAAATGGACCCTGCATTAGATGATAATAATGTATCAATTTTCTGTTGAATTTTCTGATTTCTGTGTATTGTGCTTATGTAAGAGAATGTCCTTTTCTTGAGTTTTTCTGGAGCAAACATTTGCACCCACTGGTCCAAGAAATGAGTTTGTAGGAGAGTGAAAAAGATTATTGGAAGTCAGGACTAGTTTGGAAAATCTGGTGTTGATGGCTCATACAGTCAATTTTATTCTGAGATCAGTTGTCTACAAAACACGAGTGGGCAAGAGAGGGAATAATTTAATGACTTGAGAGGGTTATTTATCCTTCAGCAGAGAACAAATGTTGTGTGGTTTAGGTCAACTAACCTAGAGACACTCTTTTTTGTCCCTTGAAAGCTAGCGTTCCCTTCAAAAGTGCTCTGACTTCCTATTAGGAAGCTCTATAGTGGAATTCTGGTGTAGCAAACAGATTCCCTTGTCAAATGTGGTGCTGTAAGGATAAATGCAGCATTGGCATCTCTTTTCAAAAAAAACAAAAAAAAAACAAAAAAAACAAAAAAAGAGCGACCGAGAAAAGAGCCTTTGGAGTGTTACAGTTTTTGTTCTCTTGGGAACAAAGAAGGGGAGCCCAGTTTTTCCTCCTTTGGTCATATGTTTTGTATAAGGTACAACAGAAATATTAGGGGCTACATTTGTGGTCTGAACTAGAGTAGAGGTTAAAAAAAAATCTGTCAGTATTACAAAGTATCATTTACTACCTGGACCTCAGACCTTGGTGAAATCTTCTCTGGCTCAGAGTAAACCATGTGTGCTTTTGCGAGAACCTGTAAGAGAGAGGCCTTTGAGAAAATGGATGTGCATGGAAGAATGTGTGTCTTCTGAGATGAAGGTTTTGAAGCCGGGAAGCTTCAGTGCTATTAAGTGCAGGTCTTAACAGCTTGGATGTCAGCCTTGTTGCTATCACCGAGGTAGCAGGTCCGTGTATGGGCTCTGGGTTTATAGCTACGACAGTCCATTAGAGCTGATCAATTGTTAATCTGGGTTCCACTGACCTCTTGGCAACCCCTGCCAGTGGATTGTTTTTATCAAAAAAATTTCAGACTACCATCTGCTCACAGTGAGATAATGCTAAGGACGTCCCTGTGCTATTAGCTCAGGAAGAGCAGAGGGAGCTGGGGGGTCTGTTTTCCTACAGAAAAAATAAAAGTGCTTTTGTGAAATTTCCTCAACTTTGTAGCTTCAAGTTGTAGCTCCCTCCTCTTTGTTCCCTACATAGAAAAGAAGTGATAAGGTCTGCCTCTTATTTCAGGTTAAATTGGAGCCTTTGCCTCATTGCACCATTCAGGAGCTTTGGAAGTGAAGAGTTTGTTTTCCATTGGTAGAATCATCAAAAATTACCACAAGAAAGTCATGTGTCTTTTATTGTCAGGATTTTATTTTTCATTTAAATTTTGTCTTACAGTTTCTCTAGAGGTTTAACATTTTTCTCATGGGCTTATGGCCTTCACATCATCAGTGTCCTTTGTAAGGTCCGTAAACATAGAATTAACCGTTCTTGACAAAAACTGTACTGGGGCAACAGGTAAAATACAACGTTGGAAGGGTAGCATGTGTGAACAGCCCACAATGCAGTGCCCTCCATGGAAACCAGACCTGCCTGGTCATCTTTAGTGGCTGGAAAACTTGACTGTTGACACTGGGGTCAGTTCAGCCCTCTGGCTTGTCCCTCTCTATGGGAGGCCTTTGGGTTCTAGACGGGTCTTATCTTGGTTTTGTCCTTTATTCTCTGGTATCTCTCCCTTTGGGCAACTTATAATTGATATGAACAGAGGCTGTGTTAAAATGGCATCTTTGCTTTTTTATTTTGTGCTTTGAATTAACATAGGTTTTTTTTTTAAATATAAAGCTTATATGAGGTTGATAATTATAATGTGAAGAGTTGAAGAAAAGAACCTGTGTCTTAATTATCACATGTGATTATTGTAGCGTTTCATTATTTTGATGCCAAACCCAACTGGAGTTGGGGAGAGAGTGGTGGGAGCAGACCCTAGGCCGGGTTATCCTAGCTACTAATGAATTTCCAGAAAACTAGGTCTACATATATAGTAGAACTTGGAGAGAATGCTTCTCCCCAACCTTGCTTACTCTTTCTTTTTGGGTTTTTCCATTGGCAGCGAAGAAGATGGGAAAAAAAAGTCCTTTTGACAGTTTACTAAAAACCTGCTTATCTTTGAACCGCAAACATATTTTCTTTGAAAGCTGTCTCCAATAAGTGCCAATTGCACAGAGCTGGTGCACAGCAGAAAAAAAAATGT